TAAAACTTTAGAATAAAAATGCTCCTGTCTAACTTTTAGGGATCGACAATTTTCTGTGAAGGAACAAAGAGTATACATGTTAGATTCTGTTGAGGCCAAATTGAGGATATTATATAGGCATTAACATTAAAAGAGGAAAAAAAATTCACTTTTCATTGATGAAGAGAGTGATTAAATCTCAGACCTATTACTGAAAGAATGGAATTCTTGGGGGGGGTAGATAACTGGAGTTCAAAATTAAGTGCTCCCTTATCAATAAAAAATATTCATCTGTTGACTGGTTAAAGAAACTTTGGTACATCTACACAATGGAGTACTATGTAGCTGTTAGAAAAGATGAAGTCATGAAATTTACATACAAGTGGTACAATATGGAAAGTATCATGCTAAGCGAAATGAGTCAGAAAGAGAGGGATAGACATAGAAAGATTGCATTCATCTGGGGGATATAAAGTAACAAAGTATGAGATTAATACCCATGAATAGCTGAGATCAGCACCAGGAGGATTACTCCATAACTTAGAGGCCAGCCGGGTATCCTAGAGGAAAGGGCAGTTCAGATAGAGAAGGGAGCACCAAATAAAGGATGTTTGGAGGATCCTCCCAGGAGGGGAGATGCATGTCGAAAGTAGACTATGGACTAAACATGTTTGCCACTCAATGCCTCTTTTGCGGACCACAACACCCAAAAGGAGAGAGAGAACACAGGGGATTGCCCTGCCACAGAGACAGGGGGGATGGGGGGATGCGGGTGGGAGGGATATTATCCATGGTGGTGGAAAATGGGCACTGGTGGAGGGATGGGTGTCTGATCATTGTATAATTGAAACCAAAGCACAAAAAATTGTAAATCTACAACTTTAAAAAAAAATAAAATAAAATAAAGGGAAAAAAAATTTAAAAAAAATTCATCTGTTAATACTGTGTCATTAATATTTTAGTATTTTATTTTTTAAACGTTTTTTCACACAGGTAAGAACGAGATGTTTGGAAAACATTTATGGAATTTCATGACATTCTTCTGATTTTTGCCTTCAACATGTCATTACACTGTGGACTAATCACATCCAATTGAAAGTTAGAAGCGCCGTAATTGCAGTTAAACAAATTCTGAAACTTGAAAATTTCCAATGCATTCGCACCAGATCTGAGCGAACCCTACTGAATATGTTTGGAAGAAATATCCATTGAGATCTGCATGGGAATGAAGACTTCAGTATTTAACAGCTGATAGCACTGAAAGTTATTATTTAACACTAGGTCTGATTCAAAACATGTTAGTTGAGGAGGCTGGAGAAAGAGAATAGAGGGGAGGGCCCTTGCCTTGCACAGGGCTGACCCAGGTTCAATCGCCAGCATCCCACATAGTCTCCCAAGCACTGCCTTGATGTGATTCCCGAGTGCAGAGCCAGGATTAACCCCAGAACACTGCTCTGTGTGGCCGCAAAACAAATTAACAACAAAAAAAGAATATTTAGTATCTATTTTCAACAAAACTTCACTGAACTGATGATTACATCAGTGAATGAGAGTGGAGTTCATTGCTCATATCCACTAGCTCCATGACAGACCCATAAAGTACCTGCTAATAATAAATAGTACAATTATTAGTACAAATAAATAGTACAATTAGTAATGTTGGTCTTCAGAAATCTTTATTTCACAATCTCTGTAAACATATAATTATCTATTTTGCTCAACACATACATCTCAGCATACTCCACTCAGATTGTACTGAAATAACTTGAAAATATTATTGCTTTGAAAATATTTTCTTGTCTAGTGATTCCATATAGAAGATTCAGAGTAATTTTAAACTCCGCATCAACTCTGAGTAAACTGAAAAAGTTAGAAATATCTGTCTAGCCATCAAGATTCTAGGACAAACTTTTAAAATAATTTGCATCATTCATCATTTGCATTATTGCTGTTGCTTCTAAATCCCTTTACTCTTCACACAACAGTTCTTGCTGACTTATAATGTTTTTAAGAGTTCATTTTCTTTTCAACTGCTACAAACCAAAACATAATTACTTAACACATATTGGTAAGAACTTTCCTTTTATGATCAATAAATGAATCACTCTGAAATTTTCTTTAGCACTAGCCTTTTTAAAAAAAATTATTATTATAATGATGTGGTGCCAGGGAACTCAGGCCTCCCTGTACTCGGTGCTTTAAGCCATGTCCAACACTCTAGCCTTACTTTTTTTATTTTTGTGAAAAATTCTATGATGATACTTCATTTTATATTTTCTAAACCTTCTGATCATTATTTTCTGAGTTAGGAGTACTATTAAAGTCAAAGTTTACTATATTTTTTAGAACTCAGTAACGATAAAATTATGAAATAAGCACCAAACCCTGCCATCTAATTTAATAACAAAATAAACTCCAGACCACTGCTCCTTTTGTAAAGCATGAGACACAATGTTCACCATTTTGCAAATGTGATATAAGGAGCATTAAGTTGTAACAGATTAAAAATTGTAAAAATAAGAAAATAAGATGTTGTAGAATAGAGCTGTGATCGGCCTTCAGAGATATGACATGGAGTTGTGACTACATCACTGGGCTTTCGAAATGCACTGAGAAGCAGTATAAAGTGATAAAAGCATTACATGAAGTTTTGCTACAAATATTAAACTTTGCTGTTGCAATATTTTTATTTTCAACCACTGAAAAATGTAAAAGCTAATCTTAGCAGAATGGAGTTATGATAACAGAAGAGGAGGACTGGAGAGGCAGTACAACATGTACATGAACTGGGTTCAATCCTCAGCACCACACAGCACAAGGAATGATCCCTGAATGTAAAGCAGGAGTAAACTCTAAGCACTGCTGGATGTGTGGCCCAAAACTGGGGCAAGAAAACAGCTCATGTGAGCCGGAGCAAAGACCCTGCATGCAGGAGCCTGGAATCAATCCCCAGCACTTCATAGTTCCCCGAGCACCACCAGGCAGGTGCTGAGTTGGGTGTGGCCAGAAAACTAGAAATACCCCCAAACAAAAGAACAAGCAAGCAAACAGAAACAGGTGAGGAGCATCACAGATTGCCTGTATCACTAATATTAAACAGATACTGGCCAGTACCAGACTGATATTAATTATAAAAGGTAGAAACAAAAATTTGGTGGCCGGAGAGATAGCTGACAGGGCTGGAGTGCATGTTTTTTGTATGCAGAAAAGCCTTAGGTTCAATCCTTAACACATGGTACTCTAGCACAGCTGAGTGACTATCAGCCAAAAATAGCCCAACCACTGCCAAGTATAGCGCCTGGCTAGTTCCCCACCAAAATAATTGGTTTTGATACAATGAAACTAGACTGTCAAACTACCTAAATTTCAGTTTCATCTCTAATATGAAGAAGATGGAGGTACAAATTTTCTAAAGATGTACTGAGTAGAAATACATAAATCAGTTACAACAGTAATTATATTTAGTAATGTATAAGCAAATACAGCTTACTGACAACTGCAACCAGATCTCAATTCTTATTAGCAACTCTATATGCTTCAAAACACCTACTGGGATCTGAGGCAAGCAGCAAATCTGCTCAAGAAAGAGGTCCCTCCAAGTAAGATACTTCAGTATTTTTCTGTCTTATTTTCCACAATTTCTCCAGTATTGTCTTTCCTCAGTACCTCAAACAAAGCAGGATGCAACCCCATCAATAATAATTTTGTTAATTATGTTTTTGGGGTGGCATACCTCGTGGTGTTAAGGGATCCCGGGCTGAGTGTCAAGCATGCACTCAGCCCATTGAGCCACCTCTCCAATCCTAAGAAAAATTTTTTTAGTAGATTATCATTCTAAATAAACTTTGGCAACATATCTGGATAAATAGAAATAAAAGTGAAATTTTTGGTAATTACAGTTTGTACTAGAACTTCGTGAACAGGCAATTGACAAGAGCAGGTGAAAATTACAACAGGCTTTATTTGCTGTTGACTTTTAAAAGTCTTAGATGAGTGTTAGTACACATACCATTATTTTTCAAAAATAAATGTTTACTTTCCAAAGTACCTGAAAAGCTATAAAATTATACTTAAGATTAAAGACTGAAGGCCTTTCTTCAGAATCAGTTTTCTCAATTTTAGATGTTACCTCCTATCCCAATGATGAATATATGCACCTGGATAGACAATGAGGTATGAATGAATGATTTTATTCTTTACTGGTTTCCTTTTTATTGGGCAGCACTCTCTCCAGTGAGGGCCATAGGAGTGATGCCGCTCAGGGGAACAGGTGGTGGTACTGGGAATCAAACAGAACTTGGGTGAACAACATAAGTTCATGCAAAGCTTGCACCTGAACCTCTGGACTATCTCTCTGGTCCTGCTCATTTCTTCTGTTTTTTTCTTCCCCTAATTATCTTTGTTTTTACTAATGAATATGAATTAGCCATGGGAGGAAAAAGGTAAAAACTATTTTTTTAAAATTTTGGCTTTCTGGGTCATACCCACCAATGTTCATTACTCCTGGCTCTGATCTTGGGAATTACTCTTGGCAGTGTTTGGGAAACTATACGGGATGCCGGGGATCATACCCAAGTCAGTCTCATGCAAGGCAAATGTTCTACCAGTTGTACTATCACTCTAGCCCCTAAAAACTTAATTTTAAAAAGACAGTTTGGAAAATATACAAAAGCAAAAAAAAATCTGAGATATTGCAGCTTTGGTTCTAGACCAATACAATAAAAGGAATACCACAATAGAGCAAATCTTGAATTTTGGACTTCCCCAGTGCCTATAAGTTATGTTTCCACTATGTTGTAGTCTGCTAAGAGTGAAATAACATTATGGACAAAAATTGTGATGTACACACCTTAATGAAATGTGCAGATACATGAAGTGAGCACAAACTATTGGAAAAATAGTACTCAAAACAGGGCGCTAGAAACGTTCAACTTGTGAAAAACTACAAGAAAGCAAATAATAAAATGACTCATTTCTGTATCTGAAATAGTGATTTTAATTAAAACATCGTAACTACTCACCTACAACCAGGCCACATTCAGGACATATCATATCACCAGCTCTGTAGTCTTCCACTAAAATTGCATCTGGATGATTGGGACATGTGACTCTTGGAAGAGCATCCAAACTAAATGAAAAAGAAATTTTTTTAGTTCTCACAACCAACATATAACAAAGTAAAGATGGGGAAGGGAATTGGGGGGAGAAAAATGAGCTTAAACATTTTTCCAATATCACACATTTGTAACACATTTAAGCTGTATTTTCAAAGAAAATATGTTATTTTATATTCTACCAGTAATTAATAGGTATATTCACAGTGTACATTCATTGAAGACTTGAAAAACTCAAAATGGCAAACATTTTAATGTCTTAACAATGTAGGTTACTAAGATATTCTAAAATATTAATATAGAAATCACTACCATAATAGCACTGTACCACTGTCCTCCCGTTATTCATCAATTTGCTCGAGCGGGCCCAGTAACGTCTCCATTGTGACACATTACTGTGTTTGGCATATCGAATACATAATGGGTAGCTTGCCAGGCTCTGCCGTGCAGGCGAGATACCCTTGGTAGCTTGCCAGGCTCTCCGAGAGGGGTGGCAGAATCGAACCCAGCTCGGCCAGGCTGCCTGCATGCAAGGCAAACGCGCTACAGCCATACTATTAGAAAACATACCTATAACATTTACATGTTATTATATGGATTTGTGCCCCTTGCTACTTAACTATTTTTCTGTTCCAAGTTACTTTAGTAATAGATTCAGTATTACACTGAACATAATGGGTATATAAATAAAAGTGGTACATGAAACTCTGCTGAACTTAAGATCTGATGATAGTTAGAAAGAAATGGTTTCTAGGGGCTAGAGAGTAAGTATAGCAGGTAAGGGACTTGCCTTGCATGTGGCCCACCTGGGTTTGATCCTAAAATCCCTATAGTCCTTAGAGCCCCAGGAGGAGTGATTCCTGAGTGCAGAGCCAAGAGTACTACTGCATGTAACCATAAAAACAGAACAAACAAACTTCAAAAAAAGATGGCTCTAGGACCTACTTTTGTTTGCTAAATTATTTTATTGTAAACAATTGAACAATTATGAGAAAGATATAGAAATCTTAAAAAAAATTGAGGAAATATATTTAAGATATTTGATAATTACTTGAAGTATATGAGGTACCAATGAAAATAAGTAGTCTTTCAAGTTCTCTTTAAGTAATATAATAAAGTTATTTTATGACAATCACAGATACTACCATTTTGATAAGTTTCCCAATGTTGATTCTCAACATTAACAAGAGATTCCCACTGCAAACTAATATTCCCCTAATATCTTGGATTTTCTCACTTGATAAAATAGAAGATGGGGTTTTACAGTTATGCTCAGTTCATAAATTCCTATTAAGAAAAGGGTGTAATAAGTTATGAAAAAAATTTTAAGTAGCTACCATAAATTACGTAAACTAATATCAGAAAATGTTAGCAGAGCAACAATAATTTTAAATGAGAACTTCCCCCTTTCCCACTGCTGGGGACTGAATCCAGGGTTTCAATTCACAAGCACCACAAACACCCCACAAATGAATAGAATGAATAGTCATGTAACACACAGTATTAAAAAAAAAGATGAATGCACTTTTCTAGTATGAAAGGTAGAAAGACCATCTTGGAGCTGGAGTGATAGCACAGTGGGTAGGGCATTTGCCTTCCAGGAGGACGACCCAGGTTCAATTCCCAGCATCCCATATGGTCCCCTGAGCACCACCAGGAGTAATTCCTGAGTGCAGAGCCAGGAGTAACCCCTGAGCAATTGCCAGATGTGACCCAAAAGGCAGAAACAAAACAAAAAACCAACCAAACAAACAAAAGACAGACCATCTTACAGCATGTTATGTGGGAACATCTCAAAGACAGGCTAAGAGGTAGGAACTTAATAGCACTTTGAAATATGAGCTATGCAGTAACTTAGTGACTCTCAAAATGATGACTGAAATGTACTAGGCCCAGAGGAATACAAATTTATGTAAACGTCCATGTAGTCAAAAACAAATCTGTAGTGTTAAAAGTCAAGATGTGGGTATCTTTAGAAAGAAGGTAATATTTGAGGGCACAAAAGCAGCTTCCAGGATACTATTAATGCCACCACCTCCCCTGCTTTTTGGAGTGGGTATTGGGTCACATTCTTCAGTGCCAGGGATTGAACTGGGATCACGGAATGCAAGGCTAGTGCCTTAACCCCTATCTTCTCAGGTCTGTATAGTTGATGTTCTGACCTGGCTAGTGGCTATATGTACGTGCCCACCTTGTGACTGAGCTGTACACTTAAAATGTGTGTTACCTTTATAAAAGATAAACGAATATTACACTGGGCCAAGGTGTAGTACAGCGGTAGGGTGTTTGCCTTGTGGTCAGCTCACCCAGGTTTGATCTCGGGCGTCCCATATGGTTCCCTGTGTACTGCCCAGAGTGCAGAGCCAGTAGTAGCCCAAGAACCCATGAGCATTGCCAGGTGTGACCAAAAAGAAAAAAACAAAAACAAAAACAAAAAAAACCTAACAGAAATTACACTACTTTGGAGCATAAGATGTCAGAACTAGAAAAAAAAAAACTGTTAAAAAGAGTATATAACCGCTGGCTTTCAAGGGGCTAAGAATTAGGGAAGGAGGGAGAAGTTTGTTCACTTTTCTCTTTGTTTTTGTACTATTTGTTACTTATCCAAGATAAAATGAAATCATGCTAGAGAAGTCAATTTTTAATCCTCTCACCACAGGAGTATAACCACAGGGGGTGGGTTATAGGAAAATAAGGAAGAGAAAGACGAGGGAAGGGATGGAGTAAATAACCACCGCTGGATTCAAACTACCGTGACTCCCCACGGAGCAAGATAATCCCAGACCTCACTTTACGGCTGTCCCTATAATAATCTTCATAGCAACCCCGCGTGAGAGGCACCACCTTAACGCTTACGCTTTCGCCTCCCGTCCCACTCACAGGTTCCCACTCGGAACACTCCAGGTTCCTCTCTCCAAGAACCCATAGTGGCAAGGCTCGGACTCGTCCTTCTTTCTCAGGGAAAACAAGGTTAAGGCCGGAAACACAACAGTTACCTTTGCTCTGGGCGGCAGAAAAACGCGACCACACAGAGCTACAATGACATATTTTGGAGAACTGGTGCTTATCGAGGGAAAAAAAAAAGGTGTTATTCCAAACCTTTACTTGAAAGCAAATGATGGGGGGGGGAGGGGAAAGGGTACGAAAACGATCCAGCCTGGAGAGAGCGTGGTACCGGGTTCCTGTGTACCCACAGGGGAGCTTTACCTGACCCAACTGTCGACACCCCCAGTCCCCCCACCAGAACAGCGTCGACGGACGGACGGACACACACACACACACACACACTCCGCTCCATCGCGGCAGTGCCAGCCCCTCCCTTCCGCTCCGACCCACACACCCCCAAAGTATGGCTAAGTCTTGACACTCGCCAGAAAGGGGCGCGCGAGGTTCCAGTTGGGATTCCACCCCCCACGCCCCGAGCCTGCAGAGCGCGCCCCCAATCCCCGCACCCAGCCGCAGCTAAGCCGGAGCCAGCAGTGGGGGGGTGGGGGGTGGGAGAGAAGCCCCTCCCCCTCCCCACCGCCCAAGGGGTCTCCAGCGGCGGGACTCAGTTTACCCGAACGCCAGGTGTCATGCCCCCCCCGCGGTATACGAGAGGGGTAAGGCTCTGCCGCCTCTTTCGGGACGCGGGGCGGGGGGTGATGAAAGGCCCCCTCGAAGGAGGCGGGCACGTACAGATTAGGTCCCGGACCCCCCACCCACCCACCCCCGGCCCCGGGCACCCCCAACCTTGCAGACGGATCGCAGCGTGCCTGACAGGCGGCTCCGCGGCCCGGCACGCGTTCCCTGGGCGCAGCCGCCGACAGACCCCCTCGGCCGGGACGCGCCGCGGCAAGAAGCCGGGAACGGCCGAGCGCGCGCCGCGGGGCCCCGGGGACCGAGTCCGTCTCCGTGGGGCGCCGGGCGCCGGCCTCGTCGGCGACCCGACAGACCCGTCAACGCGGTCCGGGGAGCAAGTAGCTCCACCGGAGACGCCCCGGCACTCGGGCGGTTTAGAGTCGCCGACGGGGAGGGGGTGGGGGTGGGGGGGACAAGAGGTAGAGAAGAAAAATGACACTAATAAAAAACGCTTTCCAGAGGGGCGAAGGCCAAGAGGCTGATCACAGAGAGGTCCCCGCAGGGTGATGTCTGGGGGGAGCACCACGGCCGAGGACGCCAGGGCGGAAACCCCGAGGTCCGGGGCGCCGTGACGGGACAGCCGTCCCTCAGGCGCCTTTGTCCGGCTCGGCCAGCCGGACCCGCCGCCTCGGTCCGGGTTCGTTCGCCGTTTGGCCCCGGCCGCCGCTAAGCAATCCCGAGCCCTCTCCGCCCGCCCTTCGGCGGGGTCGGCCGGACATACTAACCGGCTCGTAGACGCCATCTTCACGGCCACGGCGGCCCCCCCCGACCTGAGACAACAAATGCGACGGGAACAGGAAGAGGCTGTGGCGCCGCGACGCGCCGACACGGGCTTTTATAGGCGAGTCACACACGCAGTCATAATAGGGCTTGGCTACGGGTCGGTAGAAGGGCCAAAAGACGGAAGGCCCGTACACCACGTGCTTTGCGATTTCCGACTCTCCTGGCCGGTTTCTGCAGTTAGCTCGGTTACTGGGGCGACTGGACGGAACTACCCAGGAAACTTCCTCCATGAGCCTGTAACCGGGCTACGCCTGGGCTTCCCCGCAGCTCCACTGAAAAAATGCAGAAACTGCCTGGGCTTCGAGGTGGAGGCGCAGCCCACGTTCGAAAAGGCAAACCGCCCCGCCCCAGCTTTTCTCCCACGCCTCCCCAACCAGTTTCCCAGTTTGAACGCAAGTCATATCTGCCCCCAGGAGTGACTCTGTTAAGAAATTAGAAATAAAAAAGACTTGCACGTAGGTCAGCTGTAACAGGTGGCAACTCGGGCTCCTTTGTCGGCTGGCAAGCTTTGTTCTTAGGAGCCTCCCCCTGCCCTTCGATGCACAGTAATAGTATCTGCCTTGCATATATACCCTTTTAGAATTGGCAGGCTATGAAAGAAAGTCATGCGGGAGCACCGCGGCCCCGGGAGCCAGCAAAGTGTGGTCCTGTCATCATGTTTCTTTCTCTTTGTCCTTGGCATATGGACAGTTAGCTGCAATATAAAGAACGTAGTAGGCGGTTGGCTAGAGCACAAGCTTCACCAACTAGCCAAACTAATATCAGTATAGTAATAATAACAACCGTTAAATCACTACCTTGCCGAAACACAAAGCACCCTTGATCCTGTGAGGATGGCAGGAAAAAGGTGTTCCAGGTTACTATGGCGATGAGAACTTAGAATATACTGGCTGCTTTGTTCATTTGGGAAGAGGACTTAATGCCTCTGAGCACACATTGTTTTCTTGAAAGGTAGGAAAGGCTTCCTTCCTTAGAACAAGGACGGCAAGGACCAGGCCTGTTGAAGCTGAAATGTAGAAGGGAGTGGATGGGAGAGCATGTCTTTCTCTTTAGTGTTCCAATGTTAATTCTGTAATTAAAAAAAACTTGATTGTACCTCTGTTTATCGGTTTCTTCCTATTTGGAAACGATTTTTTAAAATGTCAAGTTATGGGACTGGAGCAATAGCACAGCGGGTAGGGCATTTGCCTTGCTTGCAGCCAACATGGACGACACAGGTTCGATTCCCAGCACCCCATATGATCCCCTGAGCACCACGAGGAGCAATTTCTGAGTGCATGAGCCAGGAGTAACCCCTGAGCATCGCTGGGTGTGACCCAAAAAGGAAAAATAAATAAATGAAATAAAATGTCAAGTTATTTCTACTGTGCCAAGTGCATCCAGGAAACCCTCTGGTGAACCAATCCTGCGGGAAGTTTTCATGGTCCTTGGCTTGAGATAAAGAGACGAGAGAGTATGAGGAGACACCTGGGCACATCGAGAAGTTTAAGAAATAAGATTTCTCAGTTAATGGATTCATAATAGGTATTCAAAATTGTTTATGGAAGGAGGAACCCATCAAGAAACTGAAACTCCAGGGGAAGGAAGCTGGGAAACCGGTTAAATTACTATAGCCCCACCTGGAGAGTATCTTATCTGTCCTAACCTAGTTAGGTTTTTTTATACTAAAGAAGCTTCTGCTTAAGTAGCTATTCCCTTCTTTTGTTAGCACAGCAATGGCTGTTTCCAAAGCATTTTCATCAGCATTCCTTTTAGTCCTGATTGAGATTAAAACACACACAACTCCCACATCCATCCACCCCTGGGAGCTTATCGTCTAAGAATTAATGACCTAGACTAAAATTTCACCAAACTTGTAGTACTCTTGTGTTACTGAGCACCACTGAGCACTGCTGGGTCTGACTGAAAACCATCAGTCACAGTCAGTCACAGTCCTCCCGTTGTTCATGGATTTGCACGAGCGGGCCCAGTAACGTCTTCATCATGAGACTTGTTGTTACTGTGTTTGTCATATCGAATATGTCACGGATAGCTTTGCCCTGCAGGCGAGATACTCTCGGTAGCTTGTCGGGCTCTCTGAGAGGGGCGGAGGAATCGAACTCGGGTCGGCCATGTTGGCCAGCCACTTGTAAGGCGAATGTCCTAATGCTGTGCTATCGCTCCAGCTCTATATCACTCCAGACTGAAAACTATATATATATATATATATATATATACACACACATACACACACATATATGTCTGTATATACACACATATATATGTCTGTATGCACACACACACACATATATACATATAACAATGATTTCTTGTGTTTTGTTTCATTTGATGATTATCCTGGGGATATCTAAGTCATTTGCTTTCCCCAGGCAGAAAAGTAAGACAAAGTCGAAGGCAGAGAGCCCAAAAGGTCCCCATGTGGAGTTGCAAGAATTAGTTGATTTCTCAAGAACTCAATTTGGTCAAGGAGGTCTAAAGTCCTTTGTGTTAGGACTGGAGTGATAGCACAGCGGGTAGGGCGTTTGCCTTGCACGCAGCCAACATGGCCATCAGAAAATAGGGAGATAAAATGAACAGAAACTTTCTCAAAGTAAAACTTCTAATGACCAAAAGGCACATGAAAAAATGCTCTTCATCACTAATCATCAAGGAGATGCATATCAACCAATAATGAGATATCATCTCACACTACAGAGACTGGTGCACATCCAAAAGAACAAAAGCAACTAGTACTGGTGTGGATGTGGAGAGAAAGGGATTCTCCTTCATTGTTGGTGGGAATGCCAACTGGTCCAGCCTTTTGGGGAAACAATATGGACTTTTCTCAGAAAACTAGAAGTTGAGCTCCCGTTTGACCCAGCAATACCACTTCTGGGGATATACCCTGGGGGACTCAAAAACACAGCAGAAACACCATCTGCACTCCTATATTCATTGCAGCACTATTTCCCATAGCCAGAATCTGGAAACAACCTGAGTGCCCAAGAAAAGACAAATGGATAAAGATTCTATGGCATATGTACACAAGGGAATTCTATGTAACTCTTAGGAAAAGTGAAGTAATGAAATTTGCCTATAAACGAATGGACATGGAGAGTATTATGCTGTGTGAAATGAGACAGGAGAGGGGCATATACAGAATGACTACATTCATTTGTGGTATATTAATATATATATACATATATATAAATATATAGTAGAAAACTAATACCCATGGCCAGAGAAAACCGGGGTTAGGAGGACTGGTCAGTGGTTGTAACTAACCACAAGTATGTGTGGGCTGAGGGTAGGTATGATAGAGAAAAGACCAGTATGACAATAATAGCTGGGAATTATCACATTGGACAAGATCTGAGGGTTAAAAAATAGGTAAAGGGATTTTCTTGATAATGTTTTTCTGTATCAATATTGCAAACTACAATGCCCAAAAGGAGAGCGAGAAAGGGAGAGAGAGACAGAGACAGAGACAGAGACAAGCAGAGAGACAGAGAGAAGAAAGGTGACTGCTACAGGAGAGAGAAGGGGAGAGAAGGAGAGAGAGAGAGTGTGTGTGTGTGTGTGAGAGAGAGAGAGAGAGATAGAGAAAGAGAGAGAGGAAAGGTGCCTGCCATGAGAAATGTACACTAGTGAAGGAATGGGTATTGGACTACTGTATGACTGAAATCCAATCATGAACAGCTTTGTAAGGGTCTGTCTCACAGTGATTTAATAAAAAAGTTTAAAAAATAAATTTAGGTAGAAGTAATAATGCAAATCAAATCATGATACTAATAGTACTAGTATGCACACATAAAGCTTAGTCTAACAGATACTACATATATAAAGATATATATATATTTTTCTTTTTTTCGTTAGATATTTAATATACTAACACCAATCCAATCACCATTAGCCTGCACTATTTTAAGACTTTGCATATACCAATTCATTTATTCTTCCTAGCTACTGTATAAGTTGGAAACTATTATTGTCTCCTGTGTGTGTGTGTGTGTGTGTGTGTGTGTGTGTGTGTGTGTGTACCACACCTGGAAGTGCTCAGGGCTTACTCCTGGCTAAGCACTCAGAAATTACTTCTGATGGTGGTTGGGGGAACATATTGAATGATGGCAATCAAACCCAGGTGAACCATGTGCAAGACAAGTGCCCTACCCATTGAACTATTGCTTCAACACCCTATTGTCCCCATTTAAAAAACTTTTTTTTCTTTACAGATTACATGGTTTCCCATGTACATGATTTCAACATAATTTCACACTCATCACCAGTGTATTCACCTCCAAGGACCCTAATGCCCCTCCTCTTCAACTTTCCCTCCCAAACCCAGTTGTGTGGATCAATTCTCCCATTGTGTTGCCTTTGTCCTTTATTGGAACCTTACTGTGTATCTCTAAGTCCCACATATGAACAAGATCATTCTGTATCTATCTCTTTCCTCTGATTTCACTCAGTATAATATCCTCTAGTTCCATCAATGTTACAGCAAATTGTAAGATTTTGTTCTTTCTTGGAGCTGTACAGTATCAATTGTCTATCACAACCTCTCAGTTCATTCATCTGTGGTTGGACATTTGGGTTGTTCCCATATAATTGCTATTGCAATAAATGCTTCAGTGAACATTTGTCACTGTCACTGTCACTGTCCTCTCCATTGTTCATCGATTTGCTCTAGTGGGCACCAGTAACATCTCCAATGTGACACTTGCAGTGAACATCAGTTTACATAAATCCTTTCAAGTCAATGTTCTTGTGTTTTGGGGATAGATGCCAAAGAGTGGTATTGCTGGGTCATATGGGAGTTCTCTTCCAATTTTTTGGGTGGGGGTTAGAAATCCCCATATTGTTTTTCATAGAGGCTGAACCAGAGGATATTCCTACCAACAGTAGATGTGAGGGTCCTTTTCTCACCACAACACTAACTGTTTCTAGAATTTTTGTGTGATCTTCTCACAGGCATGAGAATGATTTTCATTTCCATAATCATGAGTAACAATGAGCACTTTTTGATTTGCCTGCCGACCACCTATATGCCTTCTTTGGGAAAGTGTTCATCTCTTCCCCATTTTTGAATGAGGTACATG